GCATCACCACCTCAGCTCCACCTCAGGTCATCAGGCATTCAATTCTCATAAGGAGCATGCAACCTAGATCCCTCGCATGTGCAGTTCACAGTAGGGTTCGCGCTCCTATGAAAATCTAATGCCGCCCTGAATCTAACAGGATGCAGAACTCACACGATCATGCCAGTGCGGGGAGCAGCTGTAAATACAGATGAAGTTTCTCTTGCTCACCTGCTGCTCACCTCCTGCTGTGCAACCCTGTTCCTAACAGGCCACAGATGGGTACCAGTCCATGGCCTGGGGATTGGGGATTTGTTCATTATCTCATTCAGAAATTAAAATGCATAGGTTAATCATCCCTCACTAATGTATTCAACAAGCACATCTGAGTGCCTATTGTATACCAGACTCCTCCCTGGTGCTGGGGTGTCAAGGTCAGTTGGTGTCATCCTGGCTGTCAGAGATATCATCATCCAGTAAAGATTACAGTCAGGAACACATGATTAACTCTCAGCAAGGTTAGAGTTGATGCAGGTAGGGGTAAAATGCCCCATGTGCCCTAGGATAAGGCACTCTCTCACCTGGAGTGTTGGGTGGAAGGTGAGGAGGGGATGGCCTGGTGCCATCACAGGGATGTGTCCTCACCAAGGGGGAAGCTGATGCATGAGCACTATGAAATTATTTTCCAGAGCATTTTGTAAGCATTGTCTCTTCTCCATAGTGACACAAGAAAGAAATGGTAAGCATCCCTCTGAGGGATCCGTCACCCTTTACAGGTTGGATTTGCAAGGTCAGTCCTACAGTGTCTGTATATTTCTTTCTGGAAGAATTTCATGCCCACCATTGAGGAAACTGTCCATTGATTATGTGACTTGCAAAGTCCCGAGCAGAAAGAAGTGAGGTTCCTGGTTCCCAGTCAGTGTTGTGCTGTCTTTCCTTCCACCACCCCTCATTTCTAGAACACCTGACAGGCACGTTCATAGTGTCCTAGAAACTGCCTCAACCCATGTGAGAGTCCTGAAAATGGGCCCCAGAGGCCATTAGCAAGTTGTTATCCCCTTCCCATTAAGTGTTTCCCCCGCCTTGGGAAGTTTGCTATTTTAACTCTATGAAGGGGGACTCAAAAAAACCAGAATTATCTCTTGGAGGGCAAGTTCCTTGTAACACACTTGGAATTTGTTCCTATGGATCAAACTGTCAACCAAAGTTTTTATCTGGAAGTTTTGAGAAAGTTGTGTCACTTCTTGTGGAAGAAACGTCCTGAGCTGTGGCAAATATGTGACTGGATCTTCCACCATGACAACGCACCTGCCCACACTGCACTAAGTGTTCAGCAGTTTTTGATCAAAAATGCATGACCCCCATGCCTCACCTTCCCTATTCACCCGATCTCACCCCAAGTGACTTTTTTTGTTTCCCCAAATTATAAAAGTCCTCAAAAAGAAACATTTTGCCAATGTGGAAGAGGTGAAATAAAAAACAGCAGAAGTACTAAAAGGCATCAAAATGGACGAGTTCAAAAATTGTAAAGAGCAGTGAAAAAAGGCATCTTGATAGGTGTATTACATCCAACAGAGGGTCTTTTGAAGATGACTGGAATTTAAACATGTAAGAATAAAAACACAATTCTGTATAGATACTTTTGCTGTTGCTGCTGTCGTTGTTTGTGGCTAGGCCATCAGGTCTAGGAACACATGGTACAGTCTCTGGGCACCAAACATGGGAGCAGAGGTCTCCACAGACACTTAGAGCTCTGCCAGAACCACCTCCTGCTCACCTGCCCAAGACCTAGCATCAGAAGCCCAGCTCTCTCTGCCTGTGTCACCGTAGTTGATGACTCTGGAAAAATCCTGGGGTATCTCAATAACCCACCATTTTCCAGTAGACGTTGTCTTGGTTTGCTCAACTTAAGTGCCATCTCTGTGTATATGAAGAATAGCACAGGTCAGTACATGGCATCTGGTACCCAGGACCAGGTCCCAGACTGAAAGGTGAGCTCCCGCCTGCACCCAACACGTCTGTGCCAGCCAGTCGAGTGCTACACTGAGAAAGAAAGAGCACTGAACTAACCCAAGTGCAATTGCAACTAACCATGTAGATTAATGAGCTGTGTGACTCAGGGGCACTGATACCCCTGGTCAAGGGAGGTAGACTGTGGTCGTGAAGCTCCCATCTGGTTCTGAGTTTATGAGGCTAACGTTGGAGCATGGCCATGCCACGAGGGTGGCTAGGGTCGTGACTCTTGGCTTATGGGGACCCAGAGGCGACCAGCTGGCAGGGGCACCTCCATCCTGGCAGGCATGTGCCAGGGCCAGCCCTATGGAAGGACGCTCACCTGGTCAGAGAATGCTGTGACACCCCGCAGTTTCCACCCTGCTTGAGCCCTGTCTGCAGACGTGTCCCAGGGCACATGGACATTCCAGGTGTACCTGAGGTGCAGACCCCAGAGGCACCACCCGGCCTCAAGGGTCATGGAGCGCTGCTGGCTGGTGAACAGGAAGCTGAGACAGCCATTGCTTGTCTGCCCTGGGCTGGAAGGGGGGATGAGCCATGTGTATCACTCTTTCTCCTTCCCTGATTATGCCCACCCACAGGCTCTCGATTGTTGGCCCTGCTACGTTCCGAGCCCTGCTGAGGTTGTTTCTGCAGGAGCCATGGAATGTAGACCAGTGCTCTCAAGCTTTGACGCACGCATGTCAGTTAGTCATGTTAAAATCCAATTCCCAGGCGGGCTCGGTGGCTCAGCCTGTAATCCCGCGCCTTTGGGAGGCTGAGGTGAGTGGATTGCCTGAGCCCGCGGGTTCGAGACCCACCTGGGCAACGAGACCTCATCTCTACAATAAATAAATAAATAAATCAACCAGGCGTGGTAGCGCATGCCTGTAATTCCGGCTACTGGGAAGGCTGAGGTAGAAGGATCGTCGGAGCCCAGCAGGCGAGGCTGCAGACGGGAGCGGCCACTGCACTCCAGTCTGGGCGACAGAGTGAGACTCCAACTCAAAAAAAAAAAATCCAATTCCCATTGATAGTCTGGGTGGGGGCCTGGGATTCTGAACTTCTGACAAGCTCCCTGGCAACATCCATGAAGGTGGCCCATGAGCCAGACTCTGAGTAGTCAAGATGAAGAGAAAGGGCTTGGGGCCGAGAGTCTCAGGGCTTTGTGTTTGTAGGATGCCACAAAACCATCCTGAGCCTCCACACTCGGCCTCCAGGCAGTAGCAAGGCCCATCCAGTCAGCTCACAGTCCTGTTGAAAGGGCCAAGGGATGGACAGTGGGAACCTTGGCTGTGATCCCAGGCTGTCATGGGGTCACCTGACACTGGTACGCTGGAACTCCAAGCGGGGCAGATTAGGGCCATGTACCTGAGGATCATAGAGTCTCCAGTTAACAGACCTAGAGGACCCAGGCACGTGCACTTCAACAAGCCACTGAGGCAACATGGGGCTGCGGGTTCTCATGCCACCCACCCAGGAGCCCCGTCCCAAGGGTAGGCATGTTCTGCCTCCCCACTGCCGGGACACTGGAGATAGTAAGGGACAGCAGAGGCCTCTTGCAGCTGACCACATGTTAGGACTCAGCTCTCAGCTCTCACAGATGGGACTTGGTCAACTTTTTTTTAATCTGTTGCCCAGGCTGGAGCACAATGGCACAGTCACAGCTCATCACAGCCTTTACCTGCTGTGCTCAGGTGATCCAAGGTGCTGGGACTACAGGCATGCACCACCACACCTGCCTAACTTTGTTTTTTGTTTGTTTGGTTTTGGTTTTGTGTTATAGAGAGACGAGTTCTCACTATGTTGCCTAGGCTGGTCTTGAACTCTTGGCCTCAAGTAATCCTCCTATCTCGGCTTCCCAAAATGCTGGGATCGCAGTTGTGAGCCACCATGCCTGGCCTTATTGCTGATTTTCTTTAAAATGTCTTGTAAAATGTTTAAAATATTCTGGGTGAAAAAATAAAAAAAATTTTTTTTAAACAAGTTCTTGCTATGTTGCCTAGCCTTGTCTCAAACTCTTCGGTTCAAGCAATCCTCCCGCCTCACCCTCCCAAACTGCTGGGATTACAGGCATGAGCCACCACGCCCAACCAGGGACTTGTCCAACTTTAATGCACACAGACATCACCAAGGGGGTGCTCTTCCTGAAATGCAGGTTCCAATTCTGTCCGTCTTGGATGAGATTTTACATTCCTAATCAGCTCCCAGAGGACACTGAGGCTACTGGGTCCCAGGACAGCACTTTGAGTAGCAAGAACCAGTATCAGTCATTCTCAGTCAAGACTGCACAATTAAGTCATCTTTTAAATACCACAGACATCACAAAGCTGTAATTTTTTTAACTGATCTGAGACAGGATGCAGGCATTTTTTTTTTTTAAGTGCTGGCTGTCTCCTGCTTGTGCAGGCCCTAAGTGAGTTTTGTTGGTGGTGGTGGTGGTGATGGTGGTTTTTTGTTTTGAGTTAGGGTCTCATTCCATTGGCCAGGCTACAGTGCAGAAGCACGATCATGGCTCATGGCAGCCTTGACCTCCTGGGCTCAAGCCATCCTTCTGCCTCAGTCTCCCAAGTACCTGGGACTACAGGCACATGTCACACACACACCATAATTTTGTTTGATTTTTGTGGAGACAAAGTCTCACTATGCTGCCCAGGCTGGCCATGAACTCCTGGGATCAAGCAATCCTCCTGCCTCGGCCTCCCCAAGTGTCACAATTACAGGCATGAGCTTCTGCACCCCACAAGTAAGTGGGTCTTAGAGGGCTCCTCACTGGAGAAACAAGGTAGGCTGGCTCCCCACCACTCGACAGGAATGTCTTGGGTGACCTTGGGGAGAGGAGGTAGAGTTTCCTGGGCGGATGGAGTAGCTGGGTGATCCACACAGGGATGGAGGCCTCACTATTCCCGCTTGGCTTCACTGCAAGCGCTCCCCCTTCCAGCTTCTGGGGGTGCTCTTCCCATCTCTGCTTGGCTCTCTGGGTTGTGAACCGGGTGGGATACTGACCTGTCTCATTTTGCCCTGGCCAGGCGGCGGTGGGGAGCAGCTTCCCGACCCGAAGGCCGAGGAGGGCTCAGAGGCCACACTCCCCAGACGCAAGAGCGTGTTTCACATCGAGTGGTCGTCCATTCGGAGGCGGAGCAAAGGTGTGCGCATCCCCGCCCCCACCCCGGCACACGGGCCCCAAGGTCTGGTCCCTGTAAGATAGGGACAACCACAGTACCAACATCTCGGTACGAGGAGACCCTCAGGAGTCAGGTTTGTGCTTCTCAAACCTGACCTTGGACCAAAGCTGCAGTCCCGTGTGTGTACACCCCTGGGTTGGGGGAGATGACCTGGGAGGGGCAGTGGCTTCTGGGGCCTCAGTTTGGCTGCACATTGGAGGCACCTGAGACCCATCCCAGAGACTCTGACTCAGTTCACCTGGGGAGCAGCTGGGGGAAGGAGGAAGAGCAGCAGGATCTTTTAAAGCCCTCCATGAGATTCTTTTTTTTGAGTTGGGGTCTCGTTCTGTCACCCAGGCTGGAGTGCAGTGGCATAATCACAGCTCATCGCAGCCTGGATCTCCTGGGCTTGGGCAACCCTCCCACCTCAGCCTCCGAGTAGCTGGGACGACAGGCATGTGTCACCACGCTCAGCTAATTTTTTTAATTTTTGTAGAAATGAGGTCTTGCTATGTTGCCCAGGCTGGTCTTGAATTTCTGGGCTCAAGCAACCCTTCCACCTTGGCCCCCAAAAGTGCTGGGATAACAGGCATGAGTTACCGTGCCTGGCCTCTTAAGAGATTCTAATTTGCACCAAATCAAAACCCATGGGTCCTGGAGGCCAGATATGAAAAGTTCTCACCTGTAGAGATGGTGGGTGCCCAAGGATGAAGGGAAGGCACCTTGGAGGGGAAGGAGCTCCCAGGGGCCAGGAGGGGCCATAGACCCCAAAAGCTGACCAGGTGAGAATGCTAAAAACTCAGCTATGGGAGCTGAGACCAGGTGGTGGAAGAGGGAGGCTGGGGAGACCTTTCAACCTGCTGCCAGACTGAGCGGCCTTGTGAGGAGCCAGGACAGAGGCGGGATCTAGTCTCATCCCCACCCCCAGGAAGGTCATGCAGCTGGCCAGGGCCACGGCCAGGAGTGAACAGACACCCGGGCCAGGCCCTCTCAGCAAATCACACTGTTCCTTTAGATGCATCAGTGGCGTTCTTCCTCCAGTTCTTCTGGGTCTCATCACTTCACACCTGGAGTCTGGGAAACACATGGTGGACATCAAGGTCCCCTCAGTCTAGAAATGTGTCTTTGGCCCAGGCTCGCTGTGAAAGGGGGCACAGCTTGCCTCAAAGGGTTAGCGTCCCCCCTCTACCAGCATCCTCTTATGATAGGGGCTGGGTGAGGAGGGTGGATCAGAGAACCCCTCAGGAACCGGGAGGTGGGAGTTGGCTGGACTCACCCAGCACTGGCAGGTAGAGGGGACCTCAGACCAGCAATGGGGCAATCAGATGTCACACGCCAGTCCCAAGTTCAAGGGACACTCCCCACCCTGTGCTTCCTTTCCTAAAGCTCCCAGAATTAATCTGTCTCACACTTGGCCACGAGAGGGCACCAAAGCACCAAGGCCCCAACTTCCCGGGGCCTGAAACATGCAGAAAACTCCAGAAAGGGGTTGTCGCTAAAAACGAGTGACCTGTAAGAATAAAAAACGTTCCTAGAATCATGCTACAAAAGTTTTCTAGAATTACAAGGCCATACGAAACTCTGTCGAGTGATTACATGCATACTTCGTGTCCTCGTCCAACCAGCAGTTGCTACTAAAATGCCTTAAAAAAATAAAAGCCTAGGACAGCCTGCATTCAGCCATGTGGAGAGTCATGGCCAAGTTCAAACACATATCTTGCCTGGTTCAGGCAGCTTAACACTCTGAGGAGGACGTGACGGGCTTCAACAGCCTCTACGTGTCCTTGTAAACCTACGAGTTCTCCATGTGGTATAGGAGAAAGAGCCCTGGACTCAGGGATTGCATGCAAGTCACATCCCTCCAGGGTCGCTGTTTACTCATCTAAAAAACGGACAGCCTGGACTCAAGCATGGCATCTTAATTGAGGGTCAGTGGCATCCCTGAGCCCCCGACATTCCTTATCAGATGCCCTGTTTACATGAAGATGTGTGTGTCTTTCCCCAAAGGGGGGCACAAATGGGCCCCTGACCATGAAAGGATTAAGGGGCCTTCTCATTGCCAGCCTCCAGGCCTCTGTGCCTCCTCAGAAGAGGAGGAAGTACCAAATAGTCCAACGCCAGCCTCACAAGGATTGAGCTGCCCCGCACAGGGTCGCAGCACCTGACTAACCATGTGCTTTCCTCCCAACTCCAGTGTTTGGAAAAGGCGAACACCAGGAGAGACAGGCCAAAGACCCGTTTCCCTACCAGTACCGGAGGCCCACGGTTGAGCTGCTTGTGAGTACTAAGCGTCCAAGTCAGGGACAGGGCCCTGTGGTGACAGCCTCTGGCAGACCAGGGTGCCAGGATCTGTCAGAGGTGTTCTCTGATGTAGGCAAACTTCTCTTGAATTCGTATTTTGAGAAGCATAATCACCTGAGATTTTTTTAAATGTCTATTTTTCCCAGGGTCTTCTGGAAGCTTTCATATTCTGTTTTATTTGAATTATTTAGTATCAGACTTCTTCTAAATCCAGCATCCAGGCATTTAGCAAATAAGCTGGAGCTGGTATCCAAAAACAGAATCTTTACAAGTTCCAGTCCACACCTTTATGTTTATAGACTTTTTTTTTTTTTTTTTTGAGTCAGGGTCTTACTCTGTCACCCAGGCTGGAGTGCAGTGGCACAATCACAGTTAACCTCAGCCTTAGCCTCTGGGCTCAGGCGATCCTCCCACCTCAGCCTTCTGAGTAGCTGGGACTACAGGTGCATGCCACCATGCCTGGCTAATTTTTAAAGTTTTTTCTTAGAGATGAAGTCTTACTAGGTTGCCTTGGCTGGTCTCAAGCTCCTGAGCCTAAGCAATTCTCCTGCCCCGGCCTCCCAAAATGCTGGGATGACAGCATGGGCCACCATGCCCAGCCAGACAGTTAAATTTTAAGCCCTAGGCATGCTGGGGAGAAAGGATTTCTTCTGAAAAGAGTATAGTATAGTAGCAGTACATTTGTTAAAAAGACTCTAAACATCTGTAGTTAAATCTCAATTCTACCATTTGACCTTGACCTCTGCCAGCGAGACTCTCTGCCAGCCCCATGCCCGCGTTCTTACCCACAGAATGAGAACAGAGATGTCTCTGGTTGGACCTCACACAGTTGATCACATTAAACAAGGGGACATGTCAAACAAAATGAGAGATATTCGAATCTACAGAAGCAGGGAGATGCCTCGATTGCAGTTGAACCAAACACCAATTGAAAACCTTAGTTGGATCCCCAAGTGGCCACAGATGTAACTTCTCTGTGTGACAGCCACAGGCCATGAGAGGTTCTCACCCGTCTCTCATCCTGCACAGGATCCAGATACCATGGAGGAAAGCTCGGAGATCAAAGTGGAAACCAAGATCTCCCGGACCTCCTGGGTCCAGAGCTCCCTGGCAGCCGGAGGGAAGAGGGTCAGCAAAGCCCTCAGCTACATCACGGGAGAGATGAAGGAGTGTGGGGAGGTGCTCAAAGGTAAGGCCCATGGGAACTGACCCTGACCCTGACCCTGATCCCAGAGTCACCTCCATCCCCAGGAAGCACATTGCATGGGGACCCCTGTGGACTCTATGGAGCTCTATCTCTACTATCTTTGGAGAAGCCAGGAGTCCTGCTGTCATGACAGACATGGTCTCTGGGGATGTAAACACTATCATGGGAGCATGTGGCCTCTCCCTTCTGACTGTGACAGTTCTCTCTCAAGTACCCAGGGTACTGCAGATAGTTTCACATTGAGGTTCTGGAGCCGGTGTTCCAGAAAAATGCCAGGTCCACTCTGCCAATAGGTTCTCCCAGAGCTCAGGTCACAGGATGGCTGCCCTCCAAGGCGCAAGAGAATGACTCGCAAATGCATGGCATAGCCACAGGTGACACGGCTCGCTCAGGGCACCCAAAGATCCCACCAGCTGACCATTGGTCTCAAGAGTTTTCTGGGCAGTCCAATGCTCTCTTGGGTTCTGTGTTTACCCTCTGCAGCAGCTGGTGATTATAGGCAACCCCCTGCAAGCTCACTCTAGATGCCCGGGTCCCTACAGGCCCCCGCCCATGCCCCTCGCCCTGCCCACAGCTGTTCCACACTGAGTCCATGCTGACTTCCTGCTTGGCCCCGTTTCAGACAAGTCCCCCGTGTTCCAGTTCCTGGACTGGATCCTCCGAGGCACGTCGCAGGTGATGTTCGTGAACAACCCGCTCAGCGGCATCCTCATTGTCCTCGGGCTCTTTGTGCAGAATCCCTGGTGGGCCATCTCTGGCTGCCTGGGCACCGTGGTGTCCACCCTCACGGCTCTCATCCTGAGTCAGGACAGGTATGTCCCAGGCCCGGCATCCAAGCATGGGGCCAGGTGGTCACTTTCTGCGGGGGTCTCGGGGCCATCCTCTCCCTCCCAGCTCAGAAGGTCCTCAAAATAAGGACACTGGTGACTAAAAACAGCCACTCCCTGGTCATATTTCATAGCGACATTGCGTCACTAGACATGGGCAGGGCTCGGGGAGTAATGCCTCCCTCCCCAGAAGGAGGGGTTCATTTGAAGGTATGTGAGTCAGGCCCCAGGCCCCAGAAGGAAAATATAAAAGCCCTTGGTCCCCTCCTCTCCTGCTTAGGCTCGTCTCTTATTCCTGGGCTCAAGCAATCCTCCTGCCTAGGCCTCCCAAAGTACTAGGATGATGGCATGGACCGCTTGCTCCGCCTGGCCAAACGGTTAACTGTAAACCCTAGATATGCCAGGGGAATGGATTTCTTCTGGAAAGAGTTTTGTATAGTAGAAGTAATTTTGTTAAAAAGGCTCTGAAGATCTGTGGCAAAATCTCAGTTCTACTGTTTGGTCTTCCCAGGTCAGCCATCGCAGCCGGC